TGTGATCCTTGACTGTAGCTGCATCATTCTGGTCTCTGTGATCGCTTGGTCTGCTGCCCTCTGTAGGGCTCATACATATGAGATCCATAATTCAACTTGGTTATATATGTACAAAAATCCTATTTTAAAATAAGATCTTAATTATAAATACTAGAGGTTAAGGATGTTAACATAATCTTTTTGAGGGGGACACATCACAATCTTCAACAGAAGGTAATAGCTCATATTTGTCATCATTTCACCACTGCAGAGAAATTCCCCATAATGCTTCATTAACTTATCCGTGTTTATTGTTTTCCTGCTCTGTGTTAGGCACTGTACTGGGTGTTGGAGATGGGACAGACATAATGCCGGTGCTAGTGGGAGTAAAGTAGCACAGTACAATAGTATTATATGTAATATTGCACTAAACATTATATAATTACAACAGCATAGGGAATAGTGCATTGTGATACTTGTGTTAATGAATGACAATGTTTTTATTAGAACACACTAAGAGCCCAGCCCACTGATGAGAGATGTAAATTTATAGGAACTAGAGAAGGTAAACAAGACAACTCCAGTGACAACTTCCAGCTAGGAAGAAGGTATTTGTGTTTCTTGTTCCTGCCCCAGAGAGCAAGGTGGGAGAGAGACTTAAGACATCTTTAGCTCAGCACATTTCTAACAACAACCAATGCTGTGTGGGCTGGAATGGATCATAGAGAATGAGTGTGTAGGTAAGAATGTAGGACCTCGCGGTATCTTGGGGGTGCAGGGGCCAGAATCCCAGCTCTATCAAGCTGTCACAAGCCACTGCAGCATGAGTTTGAACTCCAGCCAGGGAGCTGACCCACATGGTGCAGCCGAAGACTCCTGTCTCCCCGCTGCTCCCCTCAGCAGTGTATTCAAATAGATCCACCTGTTCTGCTCCCCACTCTGTCTCTGGTGAATCCTCTCACCAACCCCCACCACCACCCCGCACCTCTGGCTTATGCCCCAGTTCTAGTATGCATAAATAAATAAAAATAAATCTTTTTTAAAAAAAGAATTTGGGACATAAAGTAGGGAAGTATTGTAGTGATGTGCTGTGTGTGTTTAAAAGGGGCTGGGGAGGGATGATGATTAATAGCATTGTCAGAGCTACTTAGAAAATGGCAAGACTTGTGCACCTTGGCTCTGGGGAGTTAGTGTGAGCAGGCTCCAGAGGAGGCTCCCAAAGAAGTCAGGAGATGAGGCATCTGGGAGCAAGTATGGGAGGAAGCTAAGGGAAAGCCCTTATGTTGTTTCTGAATTGCCCATTGATGGCTACTTTGCACTGAGTGGGAGAGATCTGCAAACATCTTTCCATGCCTCCGTTTGCTTCTTTGTGATGACTTCTTATTTTAAATCCACGTAGGAGAAATGTAATAGTTTTTTGCTGTATGCTTTTTCATGTTAAGAACTATTAGAGTGTGTGTGAGTTAGGGCAGAGGGGTTAGTAGATCAAGGCAAGATAATGAAATGCAGCCTTCTAGAGATCATGGGGCATATCAAATACTGTGCTTTCTTTTTAAAGATTTATTTATGCATACAAGAGCTGGGGTGTAACAGAGGTGTAGGAGGGTGAGAGGCTTCACCAGAGACAGAGTGGGGAGCAGAACAGGCAGACTGACTGAAATACTCTGCTGAGGGGAGCAGCAGGCCACACAGGAGAGGTCTGCTGCGCCATGTGGGTCAGCTCCCTGGCTGGGGTTGGAACTGGTGCGTGGCTGCTGCCGGCTTCATGGTGCAGTGTCTTTAACTGCTGCACCAGCAGGGAGACCACTGAATACAGTGTTTTATATTTGTGATTCAAAACCCACGTTGGTAATGCAAAAACAAGAGACTCTTTTCCTTTCAGTAACCAACAGGAACTCTTTTGCCCTATCTTCTCTCACTCTCTTTTACTTTGTAAATTTCAGCTGCCCAAGGGGGCTCCAGCTGTACCCTGAGTTTCAGCTGTATTGGCCAAGGCCTAGGCAAGGACTCCTGAGTTGGGTACTTGCCGTCTGGTGATCTGTCATGGACCCCGTCTGTTGTAAAGTTCCATGTTAGATGTCAAGCACCCCGTAGCCCCGTGGTTTTAATTATGTTTCTGGCTTTGGGATCTGCTTGCTTAGGAGTGTCTTTGGCCGACTTCCTGCCATCTCCTTGTGTATTACTCTTTGTTTCACAGCCAAACCTCAGCTTTTCTGGAAGTCTTCAGTTTGCCTTAATCTTAGTAAGTGTCTGATAGAAGGGGAGAGAAAGTTCAGATCCTCCCCCCCTCAAAGTTGAAATTTGGAAATTGTACACTCTTTGGTCTGATGTGTTACATTGTATAGGGATTTTTTTTATGTGTAGTTCTTTTAACATGTGTTATTTTAAAATTCAGAAACAACTGTAGAACCTTATAAAACTTTCTTGATTTTTTATTAAATGTAAGTTATCTAAACCAAGACTCAGAAAATGTAATAAGGATTTTTATAGTTCTTAATATATTTTGTGTGTAACATTCTACTTATTTTTAAATTTTTAATTGCAGTATTTTAAACTATCAAGCAGATTGTATAAAATCTTCCTATCCTACAAAAGAATCCATAGTATAGCACAGAGGTTAAGTTGCGTCCAGGACTTTTGATTTTGTTAAATGGAGGTGCCATTTTCTGAGAAGGGGATCGAAGGAGCAGTTCAGGGAGACATCAGATGCTCACTTGATGTTCATATTATGAAGTGTGGAAGGAGGGAAACGTATGGCAGAAAGCCAGCTGGAAGGCTTTTATAGCAACTACAGCAAGCGATGAAGTCTTGGTTCATTTCCATCCACTCAAGACCAGCTCATATTAACTACGTGGTAGTCTGTCAGGCACTGTTCTAGGAATCCACATATATTAGCTCTTTCGATTCTTAGAACAGTCCTGTCTGGTAGGAACTATTGTTGCCAATTTATATACGAGGAATCTGGAGCAGAAACTGCCCCCAAGTAATAGAATTAGTAAATGTTTGGGCTGAGATGGAACCCTCACCAGTCTTATTACTGATTGCCTGTCTTGGTTCTTTTAGCCAACAATAGGAAACAGAGTGGAGGAGATGGAAAGTAGCTTAATTTGTCCACAAGTGGAGGTGGGCAGCAGGCCTGGGTCTGAAAGATGAGCATCCTGCTCTTGGCCTTTCTAACATGGGGTATTTACCCAGAGTGACAAGGGTGTAGAGGGGGAGTGGGGAAGACTTAGCATGTCTGTCCCGAGCACGCTGGCATCTGGGGGGAATCCAGGTTGGCGCCAGCTTGCTTTGCTGTCTATCTCTTGATGGTCAGCAGCTTCGATGCTGTCTTCTTAAGGGTGTTTCTCTGTCCCTTGGATTGTAAGAAAGCAAGATTGTTAAATCTAGAGGGTCTGGTGGGACGGGAAGAGAGACATGTCCTTTTATCACAGCATCATTCTTGCTTCACTTTGATAGTATATATCCCAAATCCACATTTGGGAGAATGGGCAATAAGGTCAAAGAAGAGAAGATGATTATCACTAGTGTAGGTAGTCTAGGGCAGATGAAATATACAAGTTTAAGTAATGTAGAAGGTGTGGTGAGTATTTTAGTTTAGTGCTACACCAGAGAAAGGGACTGAAAAGTTCAACTTAGATAGAGCCTGTGGCTTTCATTTCTAGACTTTTAGGAAATCTTTATATGAGGTGAGTGAAAGATAGGTTACTGGATCACAGCGACATTTTGAAGTAACTTGTTTTTCTTTCTTGGCTCTTGTTTCTTTAATGCCTTTTCCCTCCAAATCTCAGTGAATCCGGGCATGGAAATTTTCCTGCAGGTTGCAATAATGATTGAATTCCTTAGAGCTGAAAGAACTGGGGAGGCCTTGAAAAACTCACAGATTCTTAATCAGGGGCTCTGTAAACACTGAAGAGAACATGGATGAGCTTTTGGGGGGCATAACTTTTCTAAAATAAGACCAAATATTAGATTATGTGCATTTTCTAGACTAGAGTATTAGCTTCTTAAAGAACTCCGTGACCCCACCCATATTAATAGCAAAAGTTTTACTTCTGAAAAGTCTCACTCATCTCTTTAGAGACTGTGAAAAAAGACAATGATACATGCATACATGTATATGGTTTGTGCAGAGTTAGCAGTGTGTCTTTGTGAGGTGAAGATTCCTACTATGGCAAAAGAAGGCCATACTGGAGGGAGAGTGAAAGCCTAGAAACCCAGCGGTGTATGGTTTTCTATACAAGTGGCAAACAAGTTCAAATTGTTCACTAACTTTGAGTGTTGGTTCTGCTTTGCCTAAAGCTCTTCAATAAGGAGAGTCTCAGTCCTTCTCTGGCTCAAGGGACACAGCACCATCATGGACCTACCCTGCCTGCCAGGAACATGAGGCACTCAGCAGCAGGCCTCACACCACAGATTGGCTGTTCTGTTAATCACATTGATGTCATATAATTTCTTTGTAGACTATTGCATTACATTTCTTTCTTTTTTTTTTTTTTTTGAGATTTTTTTATTTATGCATTCAAGAACTGTGGTACAGGTCAGAGGTGTGAAGGGGTGAGAGGATTCCCAGAGATAGAGTGGGGAGCAAAACAGGCAGATTGAGGAAGTCCACTGCTGAGGGAGCAGCGGGCAGGTCGGGAGAGGTCTGTCGCGCCATGTGGGTCAACTCCCTGGCCAGGGATTGAACTCAGCTGCAGAGGCTGCTGAGAGCTTCAGAGTGCTGCGCTTTAACCTGTTGCATCACCAGGGAAGACCCAGAATATTGCATTTCTTGAAAGTGGACTGTAAAGCTTTTGTAAGTGTCATCTGGCATTAAATACTTTGAGTGGAGGAAACAAAAGAACTATAAGCTGTTTCTTGGAAAAGTTCAGATAATCAGCAGTCATACAGTTAGCTCCAGGCTTCTTTTTTTGTTTTGTATTATTTTCTTGGTTTTCATCATCCTTTTCAATCAAGCAAAAAATATGTATGTAATCGAAATGAGTAAACAATTAAAACTTAACCTATTTCTTTCGTAGATTGCTTTCTGAGTCTAAACAACTCAACATTTTAAGAAAAGCAAGATCTTATATTAAGCAGAAAAAATATGATGAAGCCGTAAGTATACAAGCCTTGTGTATATAAACAGCTGACCATCATTTCAGGTATAGAGAAGGATGGGGTGTGATGATGGGAAACAGTAGACAGGCCAGGCAGCTTTTCTTGACCTTCAAGAAAACTTCTTAAATTCTTAAGTAGCTGCTTTAGATACAGGCACCCTTGGTTTATTTCAGTTAATATTATAGTGAACGTTAGGTTAGCTTTGGAAATTTACAGTTGCCACTTTTATAATGAGTCTGTTCCAAGTTTCTATCACCCTTCTGCATAATATTTTAGAGTGTGGCATATTGCTCCTATTGTCTACACAGAGTCAGAAGCCACATGATGATTGTTGGAGATTTGACTCTTCCAAATACCTCCCCACTGTTTCTTTCATTAATTTTGTCTTTGTTAAATGGTCAGATAATTTTACAATAGAAAAGAATTCTATTTTCTGCTTCTGAAGTGTCTAACTCATCCCATGCATCTCTGATGCTTGTGTTGTGGTTTTAGCCACAGCTACCTGTCTACAGTTGTTCTTATTGTGGCAGCTGTGGTGTCCTCTGTGGGAAGAGACTATTACCAGATTAAATCCCTCTTTCTTAGTCAACAGAAAGTGGGCCTGTCTGTGACAAACATGCTGTATTCTGTAGGTTTGTTTGGCAAAGGAGATGCCAATCCATTATAAAACAAATGGTGACTGGTTAAATATCTTGCTGGAGGATAGAAACCAAAATTGAGTGTTTAAGTAATGATAAAAATAAGTAAATAAAATGGTAAGCTATGTTTACCTTCTAAAGTATTAAGCTGTTTTAATATTTTATAACTTATTTGGCTAATCTGATGTGATAAAGTAAAAATTTCCACGAGTGTGGGCATCTTCATATTTGGGACCTATATCAGAGAGGCTTCCCTGTCTTTCTTTCCTATATTCTCTGAAGATAATTTCCACAAAATGAATCATTTTAAAGCACATAGCATGAATAGTTGACTTTTTAAAAAATCGTTTGTATGCAGCAGCATGGATGAAGCTGGAAGGGATCAGGCTTAGTGAAATAAGTCAGAAAGAAAAGGAAAAATACCAGAGGATTTTACTCATAGCAGGAGTTTAAAGGACCGGTGGGGGGGGGGGGGGGAATAATAATGAATAGCAATGTACCAGAGACATTTTATGGGGGTGGTGTAGGGGATGGGGTCAAAAATAGGGGGGAGTGGGGGGAAAGTGCACTGACTATGGTGATGGCACACGGGCAGTTTGCTGATGGGAAGCCCGCGGGGATTACAGCTGAGATGGAAAAAGGCACAAAATGATATAAAAATAAGCTATTATATTATTAAAATATTTTTTAAATCATTTGTATTTAAAATGTTCTTTCTTATCAAAATCTATTGTATTCAGGAGTTCTTTGTACTTACAAGAAAATCTTGTAACAAAATCTATTCTTGACCCACCATGTACAGATACTCTAATTTTACTACTTTTGCTTCCTCTGAAACTTAGGTTTACTTGTTCTTACCATGTGGCAAGTTAACATTTTTTTTCCCCCTTAGGTCTCGCTTTGCAACGAGCTGATTCATCTTGCACTCAAAGGATTATCCTATTACCATACTTATGACCGATTCTTTTTGGGCATCAATGTTATTCTTGGTTTTGTGGGATGGACGTCATATGTGTCTCTGTTGATCATCAAGTTTCATTCTAACCTCACCAGATGTGCTAGTAAAGAAATTAAGGTATGTTCAAAAAACATAATGAGTCAGAGGATGGTGTAAAACCAATAGTCCTATAAATTAAAAGAGCTGTAAACATAGTTGTATAATTTAAATTCTCCTGTGGCATTGACTGTGATGGATTTCTGTTCTTTTTAATAATCATTTAGCATGTTGTAAGTATTTCATATCTTTCTAGTACAGGTGGTTTGAAAACTACAAAACAATACATTAAACTTTATCTGACATTGAAAATTGAGGGATTGCAATGTGCTAAAAATCAATTATTCAGAATATTTCTTTTTCACTAATTATGTGCTCCTAGCACTATTCTTAGCTTTTTTCAACTTTCTGGATTTTTTTATTTTTTCTTATAAAAGATTTATTTATGGTGCATACAAGAACTGGGATATAGGCCAGAGAATTGGGGGGGTGAGAGGATTCACCAGAGACAGAGTTGGGAGCAGAATAGGCAGATCTACTGAAATCCACTGCTGATGGGAGCAGGGGTGAGACAGGAGGTTGGCTGCTCCATGCAGGTCAGCTCCCTGGCTGGGGATTGAGCTAGTGCTGCAGTGGCTGACAGATAGCCTGATAGCCCTATGTCTTTAATCCCTGCACCCCCCAGGGAGGCCTCAGTTTTACATTTTACTTTTCTGTAATGGAAGAAGGAGTCGCAATGTTTATTCTTCTTTTTATAGTGTTTTAATGCATCTTAAATAATTTCTCCAACTAATTTTCATTAATTGAATCTATGTGAAATTGTCTTGAAAAAGAATAACTTCTTAGATGTTAACAGACAAAAACAACTGTGTTCGGTGATGGATAGAGCTAAGTATTCTGCTGGGTTCTTGGAATTTATTTTGCTGTTTTAAACTCATAATCGTACTTGGAAGAAGGTATTATAATTTCTCTTTACAAAAGAGGAAACTGACGAATAACATAACCACCTTGTCAAGTATAGGCCACTATACTACACTACAAAAGACAGCTTTAGTGTGTAACAACATTAATATATGTTAATGTGCTTGAGTATGATGCAAAGATTCATGTTTCAAATCAAGGAGAACTCACTTTAGTTAAAGTAATATAACAGGAAAAGATAAGTCTTGGTGGAAACTTCACAGACTATGAGAAGAAGATGGGAATTAAAGTAAAATGAGTAATATAAACAGCAGCAGAATTGGAAAAATGTATTATTATGCTGGGATAAGTAATACTTACTAAGCATCAGTATTCCAAGACTCTCCTGGGTATTTTACATGCTTTATTCAGTTCAACTTTACACTACTTTAAATTTGCTTAAGATTTTCATCAAATGGGTAGGGAAATTTAGACTCAAAGAGATATGTGTCTTCTTCAAAGACCCACCAGAATTAACTGACAGGACTAATGTTTTATAAAAGTTAAACTCATGTTCCTTTCTCACCATGGCCTTCAAAATAAATAGTTCAACTTGGGTAGAATTTGGGAGGTTTGTTGAAGGATCAAATGAGAGATAATATTGACAGTAGATTAAATCAAAGTAACCAATGGTGTCAAATGCTGAGTTTCACTTTTCGTGATAAGTTGGCTCTAATTAAACAACAGAAACAAAACCAATAGGCTATTATTAGTGTAAGAAGTTGGCTTGTAGGATTGTGGGGGCCAGTTAGGCAAGTCCTAACTCCATAGATTAGAGCATCAAGGATACATTGGTACTTGCAAGTAGGGTTCTTAGACTGTTAAGAACTGTTCTTCAAAATCTTTTGACTGCTTCAGTCAGGCCAGTCACGTTATTGGGATCCTGTCACCTACTTGAAGTCTACTGATTGTGGACTTTGATTACATCTACAAGACACTTTGGGAGCAGCACCTAGATTAGCCTAGTTGACACACTGGGACATGCCTGGGAATTGTGACTAAGCATCTGGGCATACAGTAACAGATCCTACAAGTGACACTGACTTGTAGAAAATGAAACCATAGAGAAAAGGATTTGATTCAGCTGACGTAAAAACTGAATGTGATAAATGTTGAAGGGACAAACTTTGAAGTCAGACTCAGATTTAATTCAACGATGGCATTCCATTTGTTTGTCAATTTGACTAAACCAGGTAGTTAGTTGAAAGCTATTGCCTCACCTGACAATGGAGGATACTGTTGCCAGCTCACTCCCCTCTGGCTCCCTCAGAGGCCCTCTCTAGCTAGCCATGGTGAGGACCTGACTTCTAAGAAGCCAAGCCCCTCACTCCTCATTCAGCACACGCTACTCTCCACACCACCTTTCCTTCTATTCCCTATCCCAGTCACGTTCTAAGATTTCACTTTGGCCTTAACCTCCTCTGTGACCCCTCCCAGCACCCCAACTACAAACAGTGTGTTCTAACAAATGTGCAGCTGCAGTCAACTGTCCTTCCTCCGGGCAGCTCGCATGCGCCCTTCACTTGAGCTTGGACTGCCAGCATTGCCTTCGTCCATAAGAACTGCTGAAATTGTGTCACTTCACTGCATTATAAACTCTTGATTAAAGGTCATCAGTGTCTTGATAAACAGAATCAAGGTCATACTTCTAATGATCTCAATCAGCGGTAATGGTCAGTTTTTACATCAGCTGAGTCAGATCTTTTCTCTAGGATTTCATTTCCTACAAGTCAGTGGCACTTGTAAGGTTTGTTACTGTCCGCTCAGACGCTTAGTCACAACTTCCAGGCATGTCCCAAGCACTGGAATTTCTGTCATGGACCTGTGCAGCATTGCTTCTGGCCCAGTGCTGGCCTGCACCGCCCATGGAAGCCATCGCTGGTGACTCCCACACAGGGACTCTCTTGGTTGGCAGGTGGGTGGGAGGAGCAGCAGCAACTGGATGAATCTCCTGTGACTGGGTGTTGAGGAGCCAGGTGTAGGCTGCGTGTCTGATTGGAGTTGGCGTAGAGGGAGGCTTGTTCCAAATGAAAATTAGGGCCCTCAGCTTGTTGTAGATTCTGTGGGCTGTTGTGACTAGTCAGAGCTCAATCAACACTTATAAATTGTTAGTAAGGAGAAATAAATTCAGAGTTCTGAACAAATTCCTGGCAAACAAACTAGGAAAATGGTCACTTTCATATTGAGAGTTGCCTTATTGTAAACACTGCAGGCTACCCAGCTTTTTCTTCAGTAACGTGCTTCTCCAGTGACAGCTTCTCTCAAATGCAGTTCTTAGATCAGTTGTCTGGTTGTAGAATCTGGAAAGGAATACATTGTCTTCATTTTATAAAGTATGAAAAGTCAATTAGCATGGATTTCAAAGTATTTAAATATATTTTTATTTTCATCTTTTCAGAAACCAAGCCACCTCCTGTCATGTATTTTTATAGCTATTGGCATGTCAGTAGTATTTTTCTTACTGATTCAATCTTGTCCCTGGACTTACTACATATACTGTTTGTTGCCAGTGCCGATATGGTATGCAGTGCTCAGAGAGTAAGTAAGCATCTCGCTGTCTTGTTTTTCACTTCATTGACAGTTAACTTTGTATTTAAAATGCAGATTTCTGTAGCATAAGTGATCAGAGAGTTACCATATGGTCAAATCTCTACACCTTCCTCATCTGTATCTGTTTTACCTTTTTTTGACTTCATCTTTACTGCCTGAGGCAGCATTGACCTTGTTCTTTTTTTTCTATATATATATATGTTTTCAAAGAACAATTTGGAATAAAGAAAGATAATCCTGATTATATTATGCCAGCATCACATACCATCTCACCTTATCTCCTCAGCTCAGATTCCAGTGTATCTTCTTTTTTTTTTTTCAAGTGTTTTTTGTTTTTGTTTTTTAAAGATTTATTATTTATGCATATAGAACTGGGGTACAAGCCAAAGGTAGAGGAGTGGTGCGAGGCTTCACCAGAGACAGAGTGGGGAGCAGAACAGGCAGATCAACGAGATACACTGCTGAGGGAGCAGCGGGCGGGTCAGGAGAGTCTGCAACACCATGTGGGTCACCTCTGGAGCCAGGGATTGAACTCACAGCTCTGGGGCCAGGAATTGAGGCGGCTGTGGCCAACTTGCAGTGCTCCGTCCTAACTCTTTGCACCACCAGGATGGGCCCACCAGTGTATCTTCTTATATCACAAAGAAGTCAGCATATTTTTGTCCCATGCAATTTTTTGTTCCTCTTTCCTAGCAGTTATGTGAATCAGGGTAAATGTAACTGCAATCAAATCTACTGTCGTAATATATATGTAAGGGATTATATATATATATATTCGCACCTGTTTTGTTCTACCTTTGTGTGCTTGCTCACAAGTTGGACCTAAGATGGATTGTTACCACAGTATAAAACACCACAGGTGGAGTTTAACATTTAGGAAAAAACTCTCCGAGACCTTGTGCTGGTTCAGGTTCATGGGCAGCTAGCATCCTGCCTCAGATCTTGATGCTGTCTCTGTTTGCACCAGTCATCTGGAGTTGAATCTCAGTTTTGGCTACCAAGAATCCTGTGAGAAAAAACTGGACAACAAAACAGGTTAGGAAATGAGAGCCTAGATTGAGGAGTCTTTTCATACTAGGCTGGCAAGTAGATCTTAACATAGACATTTGCATTCTAAGTTTTGCTAACTGCAGTTTTGACCACCTTTTCTGTTCTTTAGAAAGTATGAGGTATTAAAAAAGACACTGACAATTATACTGTTACTTCTCCATTGTAAAGGAATAAGGTTCCTACATATACATATTTAAATCAGATTTTTTTTTTCTGGAATTTATTCTGCTTTTGAAATTCTTAGGATGGAAGGTTTTTATCCTTACAGAAAATTCTACTATAGAACCTCTTTTTAATAACTAAAAGTTCTATTTATGAAGAACATATGTATTTAAATTTTAAGAGAAATTGGTATTTTTTTGATACGTTATATAGAAAATAAAATAGAAAAATTGATTCTTCAAAAACAATTATAAATGATTTTAAAAATTATCTCTTATTTCTATGTGCCTATTCATGGTTGAAAACAAAAGCAACATATCCACTTTTGACTGGTATGAGCTTTTTCATGGTTAACAGTTTTATTCTATTATATAACCATTGTTTTCCATCAGAAAAAGATCATAAACTAAATGATGTTAACCTTTTATAATTACCTACTGAAAATGCTAAAGTGTTATTTTTTTCCTGGTGATTAAATGGGAAAAGTAGCCAAGTATGTAATACATTTTTAATGGTTGTGAAGTCACATTTAATTACAATTAGTGACACTTTAAATTGGGTTTGGAAAGGTTATTTAGCTTGTGAAAAAGTGCAATTAAAACTCTCTCTTCCTAAATAAGGAAAACCCACCTTTATCTCATTAAGGCAACTGAGATTTTGATGTAACCTTGGTAAATTAATTTTCTTTTCAGTGTTTATTCATTTGGGTTAATGTTATTTTATGTGATACTGAATCTGTACTTAATTGTATGTACCTATATTTAAATAAGATCAAACAAGATTCATGTATTATCATTAATGTTTATAAAAAAGCTAGCAAACTTTTGTGTTTATTATCAAGTGAATTCAGAAATTACATTTTTTCCTAAGATATTTCTGGATTTCAACAAAATATTTATTTACAGTTATTGAACATATTTGTTAAGAGGTTATTGTAGTTCTTGAACAATATATGAATTGAATCCTGATTTTTTTTTTTACTACATATATCTTAATTTTTAAATTCAGTGTGATCTTTTAATAAATAATCCTGCTAAACAGGTTTCCGGTTATTCAAGACCTTTTCTCATCACTAACCTGTCCACTGAGTCATTGTGTCGGGTATCTGCTGCTCTTCACTCTGGGAATTGAAGTATTAGTAAGTCATTTACCACATCCCACTTTCAGATCTTCTTTATGTGTATTTAATTCCTTAAGTGACCTCATTCTTCATTTCTTCTTTGAAATGCATTGCTAGGTTCTCAGTTTTTTCTACCGCTACATGCTTACAGCTGGACTTATTGCAATCGCTGGTTGGCCATTTTTCACTGAGCTGTGGACTCGAGCAAAGGTATGAGGACACATTTTGACACTGGATTAGTAGCTACTTTGTTTTGATATGTGCTCAAAGTGGGGAATTGTTCATTTTGAAAGAAAGGCTAGGATGTATCCTTACATCAAGGGTCTGCTTTTTGCTGGAGGTGATGTTGCTGTAAAGTTTCAGTGTTTCATGTGGACTTTCCTATCACAACGGAACTGCTGGGTTTGGAACTGCTGGGTTTGAAATGCTCCAGACACAGAGGGAGCAGAGGTGCTGAATCCTCCTGTGAAGTACTTCCTGGTTCCCTAGAGGAAACTACCTTGAGCCTCTAAATAATGGAGCAGCCAAGGAACTGCCCAGTTAGCACAGGGCCCAAAGGCCCCCAGTGAGCTCTGGCCGCAGGTGTTACCTGAGCTGACCTGAGTCACCTCCTCGCTCTCTTTTTTCCCCTGGAGAAGTTTATGTTCATGGTACTTTATGTTTAAATATATTTACTTCTAGGCTGAGTGTTGCAATGTGCTTCTCCAGACTACTCTTCATATTTCCATTTTGGATACTTTTTGATGGAAGGAAGAGAATATTGTGATATCTGCTTTGTAGCCCATGAGAAGTTATAACATTCCCCAATTAATGTGATTATTGACCTTTTTACCTTAATCTAATTATAATATATTTTTGCTTATTTCCCTGTGGGGCTCAGTTATTTGATGATTACAGGCCAACTTGTAATAGATGTGATTGACATCTGATGTAACATTCACTGGATGAAACGCTTGCTTTGAAATATCAGACCCAGGTTTATATCCTGGCTATTTCAGTTACTACCATGGATCTATTTCCTCATCTGAAATATTGTGAATAATGTAACCTACCTCTTGAGGTTATTGTGAGAATTGAATGAAATAACTCTCATACCTAATATAGTAGCTACTGAATCACCTCCTTGGCAAAACGTGGCTGTATTACTACTTAAAGTAAACAAATGTCTTGTATTTTCCTTTTAATTTCACAGACAATAGTCTGTGACATACTTTTTAAAAAAATACTTATTTATTTATGCATATAAGAACTGGGGTACAGACCAGAGGTGCAGGGGCAGTGAGAAGATTCACCAGAGAAAGAGTGGGGAGCAGAACAGGCAGATCGACGAAGTCCACGGCTGAGGGGAGCAGCGGGCGGGTCAGGAGAGGTCTGCTGCACCTGGTGGATTACCTCTGAGGCGGGGGCTCAAACCTGGGCTGCAGAGGCTGTGGACAGCTTCCTAGAGCTGTGCTCTAACCCGTTGTGCCACAAGGGAGGGCCCCTAGTCTGTAAAATACGGAAGGCAGTTTTCTGTGTGATATTTATCTAATGATAATTGTTTTCTTTTTAGAGCACCTCGCTGACTTGGAGTTTCTTCTCCATGCTCCTGGCAGCGTTCCCGCTGATGCCTGTTGTAGGTCGAAAGCCAGATATCTTTCTAGTGTACGAACAGCATTTCAACTTATTTTCAGTGCAGATATTTTTCTCATTCATCATCATGAAATATGAATCTGATCTTGGTTTTGAGTTTTGGATCACGTGAACAATCTAGAAGCTAGAGAGTCAGCTTCACACCAGCTTCATCATTTTGGTCTGGCTTGGAGAGGCATAAAAGCTCCCTGGAGATATTTCTGTGCTTTCACAAAAAAAAAAAAAAAAAAAAAAGAAATTGTGCCAATTAATGGTAACTTAAAATGCCCAAAAAAAGTGACTAGATTTTATGTATTAGAGAAATCAAAAAATGTTTCATATGGAAAAAAATTTCTGTTGCCAAACATAAAGGTTTAAAAGTCATTGATACAATCCCTATTCTTGTCCACACATTACATATCTTAGAAGAATGCAATTCTCTGCTGTTCTTACCCGAATGTGACGATCTCCATGAGAAAAAGTGCTGTGTACTTTGACAGCTTTCCCATGCTGAATGGCTTCAACACTAGAAAATTCCTTAGAACTTACCTGAATTTGGCATGCTGCTGTTATATTTGTCTTTAGTGTATCCCAAATAAATCTGGAAAATAATTGGTTCCCTTTGCTTTTAACTTTATTTTTAAATTATTGTTAAGTAAACTGTGTATGTGCACACACTAACTAAATGATCAGTATTTCATTTTAACATCCCCTCTCGAATTTTCTAATCATGAAGCATATTTGTTACATTTTTCCTTTGACTGTTGTATAAACAGTTTATCATCTTAGATAATCTTTAATAGATCAGGGTATATATTTTTTAACTGATGAAAGGCTGTCGTATTTTTTAAGTTAAGTGTTAATTCTGAAGTATGTGCTATTTATAAAGTAACATAATTTTTGTCATTTCTGTGAGAATGCCAATACAGAATAGAAGATCAGAAATTATTCTAGTTAGTCAATTTAATAGCAGAGCTCAAAATAATTTTGTTGTTTTCTATGACCATATTGTAAGCTATTCTTTATTAGTTACTAAGTAAAAACTTTTTGATTTGTCATAAACTACAATGGTATGTGCGAAGATGAATTCAAATCTCATTATTTCTCTCTTCTCACTGTTATGTGAGTTCTATTGTCCCTATAAAGCCTATTTTTCTCTTTCCATCAGCTTCTGCTTATCTGTCCTGTTCAAGCAGCATTGACAGCATTAAGAGAATTTTTGTTAAAAGAAAAAAATTCTGTACATTGGCTCCATAGAAATTTGCAAGTCACAAGATGAATTCTAGAAGTAAATTTGTTTCTGGAAGAAAGCATGAGAAATCTAATTTGTATTTTTAAAATTATGTTGTTTTCTATATTTCTTAATTTAGATCCTCCAGTGATTTAAGTTTGAATCAGTTTCCTAATAACTACTTGCAGATTCTTTATTTAGATTTTTTGTTTCATGGAGAAGTTTCTATTCTCCATTTGATCTCTCATATCACCTCCCTTTTTAAGAAGTTACAAAGGTATATATATGAGGCATTTAAGGGTAAAAGTATAGAAGAAAGCAAATATAGGTGTAACAGCTCTAATATTTGTTAACTCCAGTTCTTTAAAGTGAAAATATATTTGCCAAAGTGTTAAAATGTGTTAAAAGTGTCAACTTTTTAGGAGAAGTGGCAAATATAGACACAACGAATCAATGGCAATGATATATGGCTGTTTTTCTTGTTTTAATAGTAATCCATGGTGAATAGATAACTACTAATTTTCCTTTCTGATTTTCAGAATGTAAGAAGAATCAAAACAGAAATATGCGAGCATTTTCCTGAGAACCTGTTCCCTTCCCTATAGCCCTGCCTTTTCCCGTGTTTATTTCTCTTAAACCAACTCCTGTTCTCTTGGTTGTTATGTTACTGAGTTCCAGATTTGGTCCTCAGTATAATTTTGGTTGTCCTGTGTTACTCACATAAAATCTCAGGAGTAGATAACCGAATAATGACTACACCGTTTCTTTGATATCTGTTTCTTTTAGCTCAGGACCCATATTATAATATACCTCCTGTTCTTGACAGAAGTCCAGTTTGCTGTATCTGCACTGTACAAATGTCTCAGTTCCTACTGCCTTTGTGACCACTGCCTCACTGCCTCAAGGCCTCACTGCCTTGAGCCAGGAACAGTTGAGGAGAGCCCCAGCTGTGATGAAAGGAGCACTTTGTCCTGCCAGGAATAAGTGTGGTTATAAATGCATATTCTTCTAGTACGAGCAAATGTTCTTAGTCAAGCATGGATGTTGTGGATACATGAATGTTGGACTACCACCACATAGAGGCTATTTTTGCTTAGCTAGCTGTCATATTTTTTGTAAATGCATTCAAGTCAGGCTAAGAATGACAGTAGTGTCCGTGAGTGTTTTAAAAATCAAGCTGTAGACATCAGGTTGTGATGAAAGTTGTGCGAAAAGGCTAATAATCCCGTCATTCCAGGATCTTTATTTCAAGAATTTTATTCCCATTACACCTGTGTATCCATGATGCTGTTTCATCTTGGTTAAACCAAATGGATGGGAGGGTTGCTATTAGAGTAAAATGTCTCGTGGGTCGAGATGATATGTTTTCACTGACTAAGAAAACTTGAAATTGTGAATTGTGTTTTAAAACAGGATGGGTGCAGGCTTGTTGGTTCTGCTGCTGGCCCTGTTTGTTGTAGCATCACTGGTAAAAAGAACAGATAGCTTGGTGAGTGGACAGCTACTGTTGCATCTGGTACAGGTCAGTTATCATTTGCTATACTGTGTTACATTAACAATATACAAAATTGTGTCGTATGCATTTATATTTGTTCTTAAGATGCCATAGTACCTCCCAGCTGAAAGCAGTGTTTTCTACTTAAGATACTACATGGAAATTCACTCTTTTCTAAAAGATAGGAAATAACCAAAAGGTTAATAGGAGGTAGCTCAGCGATGCCCAGAGGGCAGCGTCACGGAGATGTGATCTGGATTGCCTCAGAAAGTGGACCTGGACAAGGTCTCCTCTGGACTGAGAGTTTGTATTGCCCTCGTTTGGGTTAGAAAATGGTAATTTTCTCTGCAGTAAAAGCAGCCTGTGCATATGTTTGTCTGAAGACAGGCCAGATTTTATACAACATCTTAGGAGAAAAGAAACTTCCCGCTGGTTGGTGGCTTCAGTGTGTGCAAACATTATGAACTTGATGTTTCAAAATAGTCATTTCCCAGTCACACTGTATGTTGATATGTGATTTTAAGTAATATAATTCAGTGTACTTGTTTTTAATCTATAGAGATAATACTTAATAGCTTGTGAGAATTCAAGATTGTCTAATGTAAAAATACAGCTTTTTCATAGGTAAGAGTAGAAACCACTTGTTTTCTTTACAATTCAAAAAAATTTAAAATAGATCTAGCACAGTAACCAAAAAATAACTTAACACGTCTTCTCCAAAAATCTCCTCAGAGCAGAACTGGAACAAGAAAGTATTTCTAAGAACACTCAAATAAAAATATGCAATACTTAAAAGAGATGTTTATTCATTCCTAGAGAACATGTAAAAGAAGAAATACTTTTTTCTGTTTTTTCTTTCCATATATGACTGGCTTAAAACATTTTTAAGAACTTTGCTAAATGTCCTCCTGAGTATACGGTAAATCTACTTTGAAATCCCTCTTTGCACTAACTATTCGTTTGCATTGATTTCCTCTGCTGTGGAGTATATTTTTCATTGATGTCTTCCCACATTTTAATGGCTCTGACATGTCTTACAGTGTACAGAATCCTAGGAGTGTGCCATAGCTTTATTGGACGCATTTTTTTCCCCTTTTAATTCACTGAAAATGTAAGAGTAAGTGAAATATATCTCTAGGATTTGATCGATGAGATTGCTAATCTGAGCTCTAAGGGGGTTCACAGATATAGTTTAGCTCATTTCTTTAAAATAGCTATTATTCTACTAGTTCAGGGTTTGGCAAACATTTTTACTAAAAAACCAGACTAATTTTTTTAGTCTTGTGGGTCACGTGGAATCTGTTGAAAATGTCTAGTTGAACTCTTACAGTCAGAGGGAGCGATAAACAGCTTGCAGATGAGTGGGAAACACTCTGTTCCAGTCAAACAGTATTTTTCAGAACAGGTCACCTGTCCACAGGCCCTCGTTTCCCAGCTCCACAGTGGTTTTTCTGTATCCCTGAAGAATATTGTATCCTTGTGTTTCAGCACCAGTTGAATATTCAGATCACAAATTCGTGTGGGATGATTAAATAGATGACTGTGGTCAAGGGCAGAGATGAAAGACACAAAACCACAGGCACGAAACTGTACAGTTCACCCACCCTCTGCATTTGCCTGCGTTAAAAAACCTTCAAGATTAGTAATGACTATTTCTAAGAGGAAGTTGTGTTCATGACTGCCAGCTTACTCCAGAAAGTGTGAAGTGCCTCATTTCACGTTTATAAGGGAGGATCTGTGCTGAGAGCAAGTGTTTTATCTCAGCCATGGCCGCAGGAGTTGAGCTGATTGAATTTCAGTGGCATTTTGGCCAGATTCCAGTTGATCGAGCACTTTCCTATGTGTTCTTTCTGACATATAAATTAGTCCCCATCAGCTTCTCTTTTCTTCATGTGCTCTGTGTTTGTTTCAGATACTGAGCACAGTGTTCTCCATGTACGTTGTGTCCAGCACCCAAAACAGTCTCCTCAAGAAACAAGGACTGCCTTTTCTGAATCAGATCATTAGCTGGTCAATATTAGGTAAGGTGTTAAGCAAACAAATGAGATACCTTTGTATCAGGTGATTTCTTAAAATAGTCCATTTACAATCTATGTGGTTATTATTGAAAGACATAATTTTATTGCAGGAAAATAATACCAGCTATTATTTCTGTCCCCTGCTGGGATCTGCAAAGAAAATTAGAACTTTGCTGTGCATGCACATGTTAATAAGAATTACTTAATAGAATTGTTTATCACTTGATAATAAAACTGTATATGCACAGTGATAAAAAAGTAATCCAAAGAGGTTTTGTGAAGAGATTCCTAATGCTGAAATTCATGTCAATTCATAAATTCTTATTTTGATTGTTTCATTTTCTGGACACCTTGTGCAGCGTTTAAGTTAAAGTTACTCTTGGACAGGTACGTGTGTGTTTATCTGTGTAACCTCCCCTCAGCTATGTAAGTTTCACGTCATTGTGGGCATCTTGCAAGCCTTCACTTTTAAATTCCCTCCATAGCAGAGTTACTGTTGATGTTCATTCTGCATGTACAGTAGTCATTAATGCTCCTTCATTTTAAAGATTTGTTTTCAATTTGTATGATGTCCTGGCACTGTTCTGGTCCCTGAGAGTAATCGATCCCTGGTCCCTGGAGCCTCCGTTCTGCAGGGATAGTGTGGAGTGGGGCACCGATATTCTAGTGAGGTGACACTCGATGGGAGCCTCTCTCAGTTCATGTGTTAGTTTTCAAATCCACACACCAGCCAAAAATGAAGAGTGGGGACTCCAACACTAAAGGTACTCTTGCTGTCATCAGCACACCTCTGTGGAGACGCGCTCACACACAGCACGCCCTCACGCACAGTGGACAGTGCCTGGCAGGTAATAAATAGAATTCCATGTCCATATCTTACTTAGCAGCCCAGCTCTTGTACCACAAGCCTCAGTGTAGCCTGGCTCAACTCCTTAGTTTTCTTAGCTCTGGAAGGACAAACCACAATGAAGAAGAGAAACAAAGAAGACAGAATTTTGTATGCAGCCTTATATCTCATTGTATACATCCAAAGCTTCTAAAAAGATAAAAACTTTAAAAATACACTTAGGCAGAATTACAAGAAATTTTGAGTGCTCGTCCTTTATCTGTGTCTAGAGAGTGTATCTACTTAAGCACCTTAATCAATATTTTTCTCTCTTCTACCGTTGTCGTGTTAGTTTTTCGATCAGCTTAGTAATGCCCTTTACAGTATTTTTCCTTTCTTTGTTTCTCATGACATTGACATTTTCAAAAACTGTAGTCTGCTCCAACCCTCCCTCCCCCATAGACTGTTGCAGTTTGTACTGTCTGATGTTTCCTTCTCATCAAGTTGACGCCAGGCGTTGTGGGCCAACTACTGCAGAAGGGATGTGCGCCCGTTTTCGCTTCGCGTTGGGTGCCCTGATGCTCTCTGCCCCGCACTGGTGATGTTCACTTCCAGCTCCCTATCAGGGTCGTTTCACTGTACCTTTACACCGCATATTTACTGGTTTCCCACCACTTGCAACTCATCCGCGCGCTAAGATTACCGGATATTCTTCTCGTCACTTTTCTTCGCAGATACCACATCCATTCTTGGGATGTTGGGCACATTTCCTCTCCAAAGCAGAGGCTGGGGTGGGGACACAGGTGCTCCCCCCCTCTCCCCGCCCCTCATTTCTTCTGCCCTTCTCCACTTTTTATCTGGTGGGGGTGAAGGGGAGGGCAAGTTTACCCCATTTATTAAGATTGTGCCTGAGAGCTCGCAGGAAGAGTTACCAAAAATCGATTTCTAAATGCCTGATTAAGAGAAGACCTGCTGAATCTTCAATAGTATTTTTATCACACTTTTTATTTGCAGTAGAAAATAACATTTAGGATTTAACCGAACCGTGAGTGAGGCTGCTATAAATAAGCAAACTGAGCGAAATGTCGTTAAACCAGTGAAATGTAATTTTAATGGAGAATGTGAAGTTTCAAATTGCTTACTGTGCCTTGTATTTTCTTACAAGACAGTGTCTTGTTTTAAAGTCACGCAGACAAGAAACGCCGCGAGTGGAGGTAGATGTTCAGTGCTTCTAACCCCTGCGCAGTGGCTGCAGTGTGACACAGCCCTCTGTTTTATTACAGCCTCTTCCTTCATCCTGCCTCTGCTGAGCTCTGCGCTTCTCTTCGAGCGATTATTCAGCATCCTTCTCTCCTCGATGGCGACCTACCTGCTACTCAGCACAGGGTAGAGACGGTGTTTCCCTTTCAATTTTTAGTAGCAAGTTTTAAATAATGTATTGACAGCCCCTCTGACTTTAACCTCTTAAAATGAGAAGTGTGTAAATCTTGAGGAAGAAATTATCAGTGTATGCTGCCTTTTAATAATGCTAGATGCCAATCTGCATTCTTTAGTTTTCTTTTTACTAAGATTTTCATAGTATCATCTGTTAGCTTTGTTTTTCTGTTGATTTCCTTCATATCACTACTGGTGATTATAATTAAAGTATTTTAAATAATCAGCTTAGTAGTTATAAAAGATAACAAAACCTATTATCATAAGTTCATTTAAGAAAAAGTAAAATTTTACATCTAAATACAGAATGCTGATGATGAGTATGATCTCATTAATGAATGTATTAAGAAATATATTTTTCAACATCAGAAAGTATATTTACATTTGTGAAGCAGTTTAATTAGGTTATGCTTGAAATGACACTGTCTTATAATTTCAGTTAATGATAATTTTCAGTGTTAAGTCAGTTTTGCAAAACATCGTCTATGTGTTACTGTACTATGTCACTATTTTGAAATGCCTGGCGGGTGCACTTGGAAATTAGTGAATAGTCGAAGTTACAGGATATTTAAAAGAAATGCAGATTTATTACTTTACAGAAATACAGTAATAGTAACCCTAACTTCTAACAATGCATCCTGATCTAATGAATAAAGATTCGTTTTTTTTAAAGATTTATTTATTTATTCATATAGAGCTGGGGTACAGGCCAGAGATGCGGAGGGTCAGAGGATTCACCAGAGACAGAGTGGGGAGCAGAACAGGCAGATCAACGAAGTACACTGCTGAGGGGAGCAGCAGGCGGGTCAGGAGAGGTCTGATCTCCTCCTGGGCAGGCACTCATGCTGAAGTGGCTTAAGTTTCTTAGTGCTGCGCTTTAACCCGCTGCACCACCAGGGAGGGACCTAAAGATTCATTTTTAATCAGCATTCATTTTTATGCTAATGTACACTTGAAAATAGTTATTTTATGTTGTTAAATCTTTCCCCCTGAAATTTTATTTGTACTATCCCTTTGCTTAGGAAACTATAAAACAAAGCTAAATGTCTTTTTAGCATGTTCAGTTTGCAGAAACCAAGCTACCAGACCCTAATTTAGTAAGGTTTTATCATATACACTGTGAGCTGTGATGACATTTTATTGATACTTTATTTTAGTAATTCATATATGCAGGCTTGATATAAGATATTGATAGTCTAAGGTCCCAAAGGAAGATTGTATCAGATTTATTCACCTCCTTTTCACAAAAGAAAGTAATCATAGTTTATAGTTGTTGAAAGAAGGTAAATCTGCAGCACTATTTGTAGAACTATTTATGTTCTTATATGTTAGGAAAGAATAATTGGATATGTAAGTGCAAATGTTTTGTTTGTTTTTTTGTTTTTTAAAGATTTATTTATGCATACAGAACTGGGGTACAGGCCAGAGATGCGGAGGGTGAGAGGATTCACCAGGGACAGAGTGGAGAGCAGAACAGGCAGATGGACGAAGTACACTGCTGAGGGGAGCAGCAGGCGGGTCAGGAGAGTTCTGCCGCGCCATGTGGTCACCTCCGGGGCAGGCGGGAATCGAACTCATGCAGAAGTGGCTTTAGCTTCTTAGTGCTGTGCTTTAACCCGCTGCGCCACCAGGGAGGGCCAAGTGCAAATGTTTTAATCGTCATGATCCTCTTTTGCTCAGAGTATACACCTTCTTGATTCAGTTAACCAAGAATTATTCTTTCACATGTCCAGTGTCCTGAGCACTGGACAAATACAGAGGCCAGTTAGTCCACTTCAGGTATATAGTAGAGTTGTAACTTGCTATAAAATAAGGATGTTGTTTTCCAATTATAAAATGAAGCCATTTATTGTGAGTTAAGTTGTAACTTGTTTGATATAAAAAATGACTAGAGAAAGAGTTTAAGTAGGGAGCTGAATCAATATAATCAATGATTCATGTGGAAGTTGAACTAAATTTTAAAGAATGATATTCTAAATCTTCATTTGTTTTCAGTTTTTTTTAATCCTTGTGAAATTAGCATAATCACATTTGGGGTAGCAGAAATAGAGAAAAATCATCATTCACCCTCCTTCTCTTGTTCTAGTATATTTCTTTCCAGTCTTCCCTCCTACTTGTCTTTTTATCATCGTAGTAATCATAGTCCTTGTAATATTATATATATTTTTTCCTACTCACCATTATTATAAAATAAGTCATTTTTCCCAAGTGACTTACAAGCTTTCTAACTTGCCTTTTAATAGATATTTGATATCTATTTTTAAACTTTTGCCTTAAGGACAGGACCAGTTTACAGTATCACCAACAATCTTTGGGGGAATCCTCTTTCATCAGAAAATATTCTTCCTTTTCCATTATACTCTTGTCATCGTTTTTTAAAAATATGAGTAAATATGATATCTCCTTCCCATTTGTATACCATTATTTTCATTTCTACAGCAGTTATCAATAAGGTCAAACATATTCGTAGATTCGTGTGCTCTTTTTTTCTTCTTGAGATGGTACACTCATTTAAAAAACATTGGGACATTTTCTCTGTATATTAATAATATGCAAGGCACATCTTTTTTTACCATTTTCTTAATATAATCTTTGTTTTGTGGATATCTGTAATTTACTTATGAATGAATTTTAAAGATACCTACCATTCTAAAGATACAATGATCTCAAGATTTGATAAATTTCAAAAAGATGATAGTGGAGTTGATATTGAATTGTTTCTTATCTCTCTTCTCCTGGTAAGTTTCAGAAGTGTAAATTTTGTGATGTTATGACTTAGAAATGTTAAAAAGATTGCTTTAGTTTTGAGAAGTGCCTCTCAGTATAAATTTGCATTTATGTTTGTTTTTGAATTTCTTGCACTCTTCCCCCATTTAGGCATGAAGCTCTCTTCCCTCTAGTGTTGTCATGTTTAATGTTTGTCTGGATACACATGGAACATGAAACCCTACAACAATCTGGTGTCTCCTGTAAACAGAAGGTAGTTTGTCAGTCACTGTTACATTTATTTTTTAGCATGTTCAGTTTGCAGAAACCAAGCTA